GCCAGCCCCGGGGGGGGGGGCTCCCCAGGACCCCTGCACCCCATGGGACCAGATCAGTAACCTGGCTGCCAAGACAGAAATAAGCATTAGCTGGAGCCCCCTCTCAACTGCTTTCCTGCCCCAGGGATGTCCCCAAGTCCCGTGTGCCCCATGGAGCTGGATCTGTAACCTGGCTGCCGTGGCGGAGGCATGCAGTGGTTCAAACCCTCTGCCAGCCCCAGGAGTATCCCCAGGTCCCCTATACCCTCTTGGAGCCAGATCTGTAGTCTGGCTACCAGGACAGAGGTATGCAATGGTTAGAGCCCCCTGCCCTGGGTGTCCCTAGGTCTGCTGTATTCCCTAAGACGTGCCTGCAGGCCTCCCCCCACCCCCAACTCTCCTTGCTGTCTGGTGAGTGGGATCAGCATCAGGGATGCAGTAGGTACTTTGGGCTGCCCTTTCTGTAGGATCAGGTCCCTGGGGCAGCCTGGGAGGCCTTTCATTTCAGTAACAACATCATGTGCTCTCGCTCGCTTTCTTTGTGCTCTCCATTTTTGGACACATGATTGGAAAACTGCACAGCCAGCTGCTTTCCTCTGCCCCCGGGGCAGCTGGCAGCCTCTGCTGCCTGCCAGGGTGCTCCCCGTGCCCTGGCTAGCAATCCAACTAGGCAAGCTGCTTCAGATGTGGTTTCCTGTCACCCTGCAGCAAAGGTAGCGCTGACCCTGCCCGGTCAGCTGCTGGCAAAGCTAGGCCAGCATGTCTCCTGATGGCGTAACCAGAGACTACCCCAGATACTCCCTTAAGCAATGCAAAAACATTCTTGTGTTACCTTGTCAGGTGGTTCCCTTGCTGAAAGGGCACTGTGCACCTGACCAGGGTTTTGAAATCAGGTGCTATCTCCAGGGGAAAAGGAGCTGTTTAGCAACCCAGATCTGAGGAGACTGCTGTGCTTCCTGCTACCGAGTAGAGCTATTACCTCATGGGTTGAAGGTCCATTTTAGTGCCCTTTAACCCTAAGAAACAGCAAGGGGGGAGCCTCCTGTCTGCTTTTATGTTCTCTGTGCTACAATGGACTGAAACATAATACTGGCCTGTCACCCTCTTCTAAATCCAGTCTGAAAGGTCGTTGTCAAGGACATCCGCAGTCAAAGGGAAGTTGCTTATTCATTGCAGGACCTGAGTAGTGCTTGGGAAGCCCTTAGAGCAGGAGGAGTTTCTCATTACCCCAGAGTAAAACATCCTCAGTATTTGAGCGGCTGGATGTGGCGTGCTCTGTGCTGGCTGGGCAGCCAGCTGAAACCAGTTCTGCAGTCAGGGCCGGCTGCTCGCGGGCAGCGACAGCGCCCCTGCAGCGTACAGTACGGCCCAGCAAATTCCAGCTCTGGGGCTCCCCCCAGGGCAGCTGTTGACATCGAACACCCCTCTGAAAGCAGCCCCAGGGCCTAAGCTTGTGCTGGAGGGAAAGAGCTGCTTTTTTTCTACAGATTTGGAAAGCTGGTGACTTGGCGCACAGCCCCATACCCTGTTTGGCGTGGAGGTGCTGGGTTCCCTTTTGGAAAATGGGAGTGCGGTGGCAGCAGAATAGGTGGCTGAACTTAAGCCCTGACCCAAATGTAACTTGAGCTCAAGAGTTTAACTGGCAAATGCCTGAAATTCCACACTAATAACCCGGAGCAGGGAACAAGGGAAAGGGCTGTGTCTGCTGCAGGAAGCTGCCGGCTTAAGAGGAGGCTTGTGCTGGGCTGGGGCAACACTGCAGTTGCTGCTCATGTTTCCAGATTAGCATGGAAGCTCCCAGTGTTGGCTGCAATTCACAGCCCTCAGCGGAGAGGGAAAGCGGCTCAGGAAGGAAGGGTTAGGCGGTAGTGACGGGCTCGCTCTCTTTCCCAGATAAAATCTGTGACCAGATCAGCGATGCTGTCCTGGACGCCCACCTCAAGCAAGACCCTGATGCTAAAGTGGCCTGTGGTGAGTTGAGCTCTAGGGAAGGAGGCTGGAGGCAGCAGGCTCTGCAGCAGCTGCCTGGTGGGCGATGCCGGAGGTGACCTTCTCTTTCC